GGTCATAAATGGATGGACATGGTCAGAAAATGGTACACTATGGTCATAAATGGATGGACATGGTCAGCAACAATACTCAGGTAGGCTGTGGCATTGGCACAATGCTCAATGGTCCCAAAGTGTGCCAGGAAAATATCCCCCAAAATATCCCCCCGTTCTATCAACTCGAACCAGTCTGGCCATTCCCATCTGACCTCTGGCATCAACAAGGCATTTCAGCCCATAGAACTGCTGCTCACTGGATATTTTCTCTTTTTCGAATCATTCTCTGTAAACCCTAGAGATGGTTGTGGGTGAAAATCCCAGTAGATCAGTAGTTTCTGAAATACTCAGACAAGCCTGCCTGGCACCAACATCCATGTCACATTCAAAGTCACTTAAATAACCTTTCTTCCTCATTCTGATGCTCAGTTTGAACTGCAGCAGATCCTATTATTTATGTCTACATGTGTAAATGCATTGAGTTGCTGCCATGTGATTGGTTGATTCTACATTCGCGTTAATGAGCAGTTGGACAGGTGGACCTAATGAAGTGGCCGGTGAGTGTAGACCTCTAGGTTAATTTTTGGAACCGACATAAATCAAGATGGCCACCAGCGACAACTGACCTTAGAAAACACAAAAATGGCTGCAATTCAGTCCATTTTTCTGATATGCTTCAAATTGGTGTAATACTGTATTTGTTTAGAATCACACTAAATACATCCTTTGAGTACAACATACTGTAATTTTAATCAATACATATTTTTGTGCTTAATATCATTGTTGAGGTTTGATCAAAATGGTTACAGCATAAGAGGATCTTAGTATAAAAACTGACAGTAAAAAGGGGTCGGCAATATTCATTTCTTTAGGATTCCTTTAGTATTGATTGGCCAGTTTTTGCGTGCAACAAGTTTTTTTTGTATTGTTTTGTTAAATCTAAAAGATGTTTTGTCAAGGAAACTTTGGTAAATTCATTTGTTTCCTGTAAATCCTCTGAGCAATGTTAGACTTCCTCTCTGACTATGTTCTAGTTGCACTAGCTGTCTCTGCTGTGCTGTCTGTTTACAACGGCCTCTCCCCGTTGGGAAGTGGAGATCATTTCTTATCCCTGAATTTCTGGTAGGAGGCTGATCCGTGATTTACATTCACAAACTACTGCTCTGTCTCCAAATCTAGATTCTTAGAGCAAACGCTACTTTTGTGTCCTGGTCTCCTCTCTTTCAGAGCTTGTTCATTTGTTCACAGTTAGTTTTGCGTAGAAGACGTTTGGCCTGAATATGTAGGTAAATAGTTAACATAAACTCGTCTATGCTACAGCAGGTAATTGACTTTGTTTTGACTTTGTTTTAGATAATCCCATTAAATCTAAAACACATTTTGGGCTGCAAAAACTCAGATAAAAACATACATGAGTATTGTTTTGAGCAGAAGAACAGGTAAATCTCTGGTGTGATATTCTACTTTCTTACAAAAACATCACATGAACAGCCAATAAAGAAAACCCATCAAAATAAACACACCCATGTGAGCACATAAGCTTCATGCTGAAACTCTCACGGCTCCTGTTTGGCTCGACTGTTTTCATTTGTTTTTCTTAGCAAAGCCCATGTGGTTAAAAAAATGTACAGGGATCAGTGAGAAAACATGCACAGGTTTGCAGTACTTTCTTTAATTCTCTGTTAGGGTTTTACTGCTTTTTATCGTAGAAATTTTCTGTCATTTGAGTTTTGGATTGAAGGCCACGCTGACTGGTTTGACATGTGAATAAAAACCATTCGTCAGCCTCATTTATAACTTTCTCTTCATTCTTGTCTAGTGTGTTAATTAATCTTTGTGCAGATTTAGCTAAAATTATCCTCCATAAAGGAAGGATTTTAAAGCCCTGTCAGACTAGAACATTTTAGACCACTTATGCCAACTTATGACAATTTTTACATACATCTAAAATTACCAATAAAAGTTAGATATTTGATCTATTTTCTAGCATTACAGTATGTACACTCCTATAAGAGGCTTCCAATTTATTATTTAATTCCATCTTCAACGTAGATATCTTTAAAATTTTCACAAGTTGGATGAAGTTGTCTAAATGGTTGTAGTGTGACAGGGCCTTAATTGGGCTGTTATTGCTGGGAACTAGTAGGTGACTAAAAATTATGGACAAAATTATGAGAAGTTAACAGATTTTCTGTTGCAGTACCACTGATTTATGAGTAATTATATGTGGAAAGTGAGTGAATGTAACCACTGAACATGTGCACTCATAATTTCCAGACCTGTCATTCAAAAGGCAGCCTGGCCTAAAGAATAACCTGCTTCTCTATTATGTTGCCAGAAATAGGAACTTAATTTACTAAATGAACCAGCTTTATAGTCATCTGTCTTTATTATGTTGTCTATAATGTTTTTTTATTCAGAAAATATTACCATTAACTTGTTTTGTAAGTAATTTTGATTTCCAACTTGTCTTTTTGATACAAAAAAGAGGGCTAATACTGTTAATAGAAGATTCTTTATGATTCACAGAATTTATTAGGCAGCCTAATCCTTGCAGAAGGATGTCCATGTTCTTTAATAATGGTGCGATTATCTTGCGGGCACATGAAAGTCAGGTATAAATTCAATTTTCCACCTTTTTTTGGGGGGGTAATTTCATGTACTTCACAAAAGCATCTGAAACATTAGGAAACACTCTAATCAACCTGCCACCTTTGAATTCATATCAAACATCACAATGGATTACTTGTATGAACAGACTTGACAAACAGTTCATTGTACTATTTGTTTGCTAAATTGTTAAACACCTTATTTGAATTTGGGCAATAGAAAACCCTATGAAAGGAAGCGGATTAGCCTTTCTCCCGTCATGCAGGGAGAGCATTATTTTTCAGAGAAGTGACAATAGGCTGCTAACGTGAATAAGACACAGTGTTTGGCTGTAAGTATTTAATGAGCGCCCTAGTTCTTCCTCTGCTCCGTGTACTGTTTGTTTGCAGATTGGCTTCTGCATCAGTTTGAAAAATTCTCCACTCCCTTGAGAACGCAGTGTTCTTCCTTTGTTTAACCAGCTTTGGCTGGGCGTAGAAGAAGCTTAAGAAGTCGTGATGTTCATTTCTGACAAAAATAAATAAAAATAAAAATTTACAACGCAGACCTTATAATAGAATTTACTACTTTTCCAGTCAGTCTCATCTTGAGACCTTTTTACAGGAAATGAGAAACTCAAAACTAGTTGTTTATTTTTGGTGCTGATTTTAATGATTGTAAAAATGTGAAAAACAAGTCCGTCAGTGCTTGAACTTCTTTAAAACTATACCTGTGCTCTTACTTTGCAAATTAAAAAGATAAATCTGGGAAATTAAAGCACATCCCCAAAGCTATCAGATCAGATCAAATGCCAAGCATTAGTCTCCTCAGAAGGTACTTGTAATTTGACAGCTCTGTTCAAAAGTTCAAAGAAGATTAAATGTTTGCTCAAATGTGTCAAAAATCACACAATTTTAATGGCGTGTGCTATTTTTTAACATCAGTTCAGCAAAAGGTCAGGCTAGCGTATGCGGGCGAAGACTTTCAATATCAACAGAATCATTTTTAATGAATAAAAAAGATCTTTTATAAGTTATAAAATGTTTTAGAGCAAAACACTTAAAGTTAAGATGTTTATCAAACTAGACTGAGCCGTGGATGTCCTTGACCAGAGGGCAGGCAGGTGTTCTTTTTTTCTATGCTTGAGTAAAATGTTAGCTCTTAAACTGTGAATGTATGTGTGTGTGTGTGTGTGTGTGTGTGTGTGTGTGTGTGTGTGTGTGTGTGTGTGTGTGTGTGTGTGTGTGTGTGTGTGTGTGTGTGTGTGTGTGT